GGATTGATTTGGCCAGAGGGCCGGAACTGGGGGAGAAAGGGGCGGAGGGTCAGTGCGCGCTGCCTGGTGGACGAGCGGGACGGGGAGGGGCGGGGTGAGAGGGGCGGGGAGGGGCGGGGAGGGGAACTTAGGGGTGACCGACCTGATGAGGAGGATGGCAGTGTGCTGTTCGAGGTGGGCGAGCCTCTTTTGGGGAGGAGGGGGAACCTCCGCTCTTTTTTTCAACAGGTCATTAGTCAGTTAGTTAGTTAGTCAGCCAGTCAACGGCTGCCAACAGTCTCCTCTCCCATGTCTATCGTGTGCTACGTCACGTCCCGACAAGCCTTAGCCATATGGCCATGAAGTAGCCGTAGAGCCTGTAGAGCCGCCGTTGCGAAGAAAACGTTCCCTGACTGGGCTCCCCCCTCCCTTCGCCCACCCCCTCGTTCCCCCGCCCACCCCCTTCTACATACATATAACCATACCCCTATACACACACCTATGCACACGCGCTCTCCGCCGTGCAGGGTCAGGCCAACAAGTGGATCAAGAACATGGAGCGAGACAGCGGTCTCGACGTCATCAAGCTGTCGGATCGCGATTTCCTGCGCACGCTGGAGAACGGAGTACGATTTGGACGAGCAGGTACGGTGTGTGCGCAAGCCTTTCTTCAATTTTTATAGATTTATCTTCTGGGATCTCGCTGGAAACATAATTTCTACTGTTCTACTAAAGACCTTATTCCAACTGAAGCAGCAACAAAGGTATATTTCCTTCAAAGTGCTTTCTCGTGTATCTCATGCTTCTGCTCCTCTTCCTCCTCCTCCTCCTCTTCCTCCTCCTCCTCTTCCTCCTCCTCCTCCTCCTCCTCCTCCTCCTCTTCCTCCTCCTCTTCCTCCTCCTCCTCCTGCTCCTCTTCCTCCTCCATCAAATACTGCTGCCTGCCACCCGCTCCGCCCCGTGCCTTAGTGCTCCTTGAGAACATTGGCGAGGCCCTGGACGCGGCGCTGGAGCCCCTACTGCTGAAGCAAACCTTCAAGCAGGGCGGCAGCGAGGTCATCAAGATCGGCGACAACATCATCCCCTACCACCCTGACTTCCGGTTCTACATGACCACCAAGTTGCGCAACCCGCACTACGCCCCCGAGGTGTCCGTGAAGGTGTCGCTGCTCAACTTCTTCGTCACGCCGGAGGTAATGTGTAATGCTGTGTTTTTGCTGCTGTTGCTGCTGCTGCTGTTGCTGCGTGTTTAGTGTTTAGTGTTGGTGTGCTGTTTCGGGGGTGGGATTTGGGGTCAGAATGTTTGGCAATGTGTGTGTGTGCGTGTGTGTTTGTATGTCAGGGGGGTTATAGGAGGGGGATGGGGGAGTGGTAATGGGTGGGTGGTAGTGGGTGGGTGGTAGTGGGTGGGGGCAATCCTCAACATGCGGTGAGCTTGGTTGCGCCGCGCCACCTGCCCCGCCAGCCCCCCTGTCTCACCGCCCCCCTGCTGTTCCCGCTGCGTCGCGTCCCGTCGTCCTGATGCTTCAAACGCACACTCTCTCCCTCCCCCCCTCTCCCCCCCTCTCCCCCCCTCTCCCTCTTTGCCACATACACATCTCCGCGTGCGGTCCTTGCTGACCTCCTGCGGCCTCCTTACCCCACGACCCTTGCCCACCACCCCCCTTCCTCCCCCCCTCCCTTCCCCCCTTCCTCCCCCCCTTCCTCCCCCCTTTCCTCCCCCCCTCCCTGCCCCCTTTCCTCCCCCCCTCCCTCCCCCCCTTCCTCCCCTCAGGGTCTTGAGGACCAGTTGTTAGGTACGGTGGTGACTCAGGAGCGACCTGACCTCGCAAACCTCAAGGTAGGAGTTGGAGGGGAAGTGGGCAGGAGGGGGAGAAAGGGCAGGAAGGGGCTCTTGAGGTCTTGAGCTTTTGAGCTTCTGAGTTTGAGTTGGTGAAATATTCGGGTATGGCATAGGGATTGTGAGTATTCTTAAGGCGGTGGCGAGTTCCCCTCCCCTTCCCTCCCCTCCTCCCACCCACCCACAGAGCCAGCTGGTGGTATCCAACGCCAAGATGAAGAAGGAGCTGTCGGACATAGAGGACCGCATCCTGGCGATGCTGTCCGCCTCCAGTGGCAACATCCTGGACGACGAAGAGCTCATCAATACACTGGCGCAGTCCAAGGTAAGGTGCATGCGAGAGGTCGGAGGGGTGGGGGGAGACGGGGTGGGGGGAGACGGGGTGGGGGGAGACCGCATACAAGGGGTTGCAGTATTATGTGTGTGTATTTCTGTATACACATGGGAGCCATGGGAGCCCCCCGTGCCCCCCACACCAGCCTTTTGTCGGTTTCCTACTTTGGTGCTCTACCCCCTTTTTCCCCGTTCCCCCTTTCCCCTTTCCCTCCGCACTATTGCCCCCTCCCCTTTGCCTCTACCTCCCCCCTCTACCTCCCCCCTCTACCTCCCCCCTCTACCTCCCCCCTCTACCTCCCCCCTCTACCTCCCCCCTCTACCTCCCCCCCTCAGGTGACCTCCAACGAAATCGCCGCCAAGGTCTCCGAGGCGGAGGCCACCGAGCGTGAGATCGACGAGACCCGGGAGCTGTACCGCCCCGTGGCGCTGCGGGCCTCGCTGCTGTTCTTCGCCATCTCCGACCTGGCGCTGGTGGACCCCATGTACCAGTACAGCCTCACCTGGTTCATATCCATGTTCGTGCGGTAAGATTAAGATAAGAAGCGGGGGAGGGGGAGGGGAGTTAGGGGGGAGGGGTTGGCGGGGACGGGAAAAGGAGGGGAGGAGGGAAGAAATGGCTTTGGGAGGGGGGGGGTATTTATAGAGGAATGATTGACCCTCACGTCCCCCCACGGAGGGGCCCCCCCCACCTTCCACCTGCAGTCCCCCTTCTGTACACAACAAAATACATCCCCCCCCTGTCACACGTCCTCCTCCCCTCTTTGTCTCCTGCGCCTCCTTACCCTTATCCCCTCCGCCCCATCTTACCCCCTAACCTAGTTTTCCCCCCCCTAACCCTAACCATTCCGCCCGTCGGTCGCCCCACAGCGGCATTGAGGAGGCCCCCAAGGCAGCCACCGTGGAGCAGCGGGGGGAGAACCTGAACGAGCACTTCACCTACTCGCTGTACGTCAACATCTGCCGCTCCCTGTTCGAGGCCCACAAGCTCATGTTCAGCCTCCTGCTCACCATCAAGATACTGCAAAACCAGAGTAAGGGCTGTGTGTGTGAGAAAGGGGGGGCCTGGTCGTGGGAGAGGTCTCGTGCGGGGCCTCGGCGGAGGTGGGCGTGTTGAGGGGAGGGGGAGGGTGTTCGGCGGGTTTCGTGGTGGGCCTTTTTTTCCACAGCGTTCCTGTTTGGGACCGCTGTGATATCTCTCGATTCTGCTGATGCCGTAACTGCTTCAAAGGATAATCAGTTTTACCACGTTCCTCCCTCTCCTCCCTCTCCTCACCTCCTCCTCCCATCCTCCCATCCTCCCATCCTCATCCCGTCCCGCATATCCACACATCCACACATCCATACACGCACCACCCACAAATCCTCTTTCTCTCTTTTCCTCCCCCCGGCAAATCCCCCCCCCCCCCGCGGTTCAGATCGTATCGACAGTCGCGAGTGGCGGTTCCTGCTCGCGGGGCCCACCAGCAGTGAGCCCACACAGCCCAACCCCGCGCCCGACTGGCTGACGGACAAGGCCTGGAACGAGCTGCTCAATCTGAGCAATTTGCCCAGCTACAGGGGCTTCGCAGGTGCGTGGGTGTGTGGGTGATGGGTGTGTGAGTGTGGGTTGTGAGTTGTGGGTGTGGGTGTGCCTTGAAGATATTGTCTTCGAGAAGGAATTGTGTATGCGTGTGCAAGTGTATGTGCGTGAGAATTCGTCTATTGGTTCACGGACACGTGTAATGGGAGATGTAAGAGAGAGAGAGAGCGTTTGCATTTTCAGGTTTTGGTGCGTCTCTCTGTCCGTTTGTCTGTCTGTCTGTCTGTCTGTCTGTCCTCGCGTCTGTTGGTGCATGTGCGCGGGCGTTACCATACACACCGTTTGCGTAGTTGTGTGATTTCAGCGAGACTCCTCCCTCCTACTTCCTACCTCCTACCTCCTACCAGACCACATCGCGCTCAATCTGGGCCACTACCGGGCTATCTTCGACTCCAACGACGCCCACGAGATGCCGCTGGAGCACCCCTGGAGCGTCCAACTGGACTCCTTCCAGAAGCTTCTCTTCCTCAGGTGCGATCTGATTTGGTTTGATCTGATCTGATTAGGGGGAGAGCCTGGATCTGGATCTGGATCTGATAATGATGGTCATCCAGGAAGGTAATGGAAGTTGAATTTAGTGGAAGGAGAAGCGGAAGATCTCGTTCCTGTTACCATCAGCATCAGCAGAAGCAGAAGCATGACCATTTACTCCTCCTCTCCCTATCCCTTTTGCTTCGCTTTCTCCTGTCTCTTTCCCCCTCCCTTCCTCACCACCTCCCACCTTCCCAACCGCCCTTATCTTCTCTCTCCCCCTCTCTCTCTCCCCCTCTCCTCCCGTCTCCTCCCCATCATCTCCCGCTCATCCAATTTCCCTCTCACCCCCCTCATGTTTCTCTCCCACTCTATGTTGCCGTCATCATCGTCATCGTCATCGTCGTCATCATCATCATCATCAGGTGTCTCCGCCCCGACAAGGTGACGGGTGCTGTCCAGGCCTTCGTGTCCGAGCACCTGGGGCAGAGGTTCATTGAGCCGCCGCCCTTCGACCTGGCCACGTGTTACAAGGAGAGCTCCCCCTCCGTGCCCCTCATCTTCGTGCTGAGCCCGGGCGCGGACCCCATGGCGGGTGGGTGATGAAAGGGGTAGGGAGTGGGAGAGGGAGTGTGTGCTTTGTCACATATACGCACATGCTTTGTCCATGCTACAGACATATGACGCGACAGCTTTGTGTGTCGCGTCTGCATGTGCGTATGTGGGCAAGTATGCATTTGTCTGTATGTGTGTCTGCTTTCTCTTTCCCCCTCCAGGGGCCCCTCTCCCTACCACCACCACCACCACCATTACCATCCACCGCGTCTTTTTAACCCCGCTTAGCGTTTTTCCATTCAACGTTCTGATCCTCTGACACTCCCCTCCTCACACACCACCTGCTTTCCTTGGCCTGTGCTCTTCCCTTTCCCTCGGGCCCCATTTCCGCCAACCTCCCTCCCCCCACCCCACAACCGCCACAACCGCCAACTCCCCGTTCTGTGTCCTCTTAGATCTGTTGAAGCTAGCCGACGAAATGAAGTTCAGTCGCAAGTTCGAGAAGGTGTCACTGGGGCAGGGGCAGGGCCCCAAGGCCGAGAGGCTGCTGGAGGCGGGCATGGAGAGGGGCATCTGGGTGTGTCTGCAGGTGAGCAGCTGGAGTTTAGTTTGCTTCGGAGAGCGGATTGGGTAGGTTTGGGGTTGTTATAATGGCGTACCTGTGTACAGGGAGAGGCAAATGAATATAGATGTGGGCTTACTGCGATGATGGGACCGACATCCCCGGGGATCCAAGTTAAATCCTGCTTATTGCGTATCGCTTTTATTTCATGTGCCCTTTTTTTTCCTTCCTTCCCCTTTCTCCCCTTTCCCCCCTTGCCCCCCTTGCCCCTCCCCCTTGCCCCCCTTGCCCCTCTTCCCCTCAGAACTGCCATCTGGCGGTTAGCTGGATGCCCACCCTGGAGCGCATCGTGGAGGGTATCTCCCCGGACCGAGTGCACAAGGACTTCAGGCTGTGGCTCACGTCGATGCCCAGTCCGGACTTCCCCGTGGCCATTCTGCAGGTGCGCGGGGGGGGGAGGGGAGGGGAGGGGGACACATGCGGGGGTGTCACGAGGAGGAGACGTTGCCGTGCGCGTGTTTGTGTATGTGTGTATGTATGTATGTGTGTATATATGTATGTATGTATGTGTGAATATATGTATGTGTGTGAATACATGTATGTGTGTATACATGTATGTGTATGGTGCAGGAGACTTGTCACCACGTCCACGACCATCTCCGTTACCTACCCTCTCACCCACTGTACCCCCCGTCCCTCCCCCCGTCCCTCCTTTCCAAATCTCACCAATAGAACGGTGTCAAGATGACCCTGGAGCCCCCCAAGGGCCTCAAGTCCAATCTTGTACGGCAGTATAACCGCCTAACGGACTCCTATCTAGCCGGCTCGTCGAAGCCGGACGAGTGGCGCCGACTTGTGTTTGGATTGTGTCTCTTCCACGCGGTCATCCAGGTGGGGGTGTGTTGGGGTTTGAGAGGGGGAAGGTTTGGGAGGAGGGGGAAGGGGGCTGCTTGTGGCCCACAGCGCCGGCAGCTGCTGCGCTTGCGGCTGATTGTTGCGGCTGCTGATCAGCGATGGCGGCGGCGGCGGCGTCAGCGGCTGTGTTGCGGAAGGGGAAGCCTGAGGGAGGCGGATGACGCTTGCTTGGGGGTTTTGGGGCTTCTAATTTGGCGAGAGGGGCCTTGGATGGGTTGGGAGGAGGGGAGATGAAGAGCTCAAGGACTTTCACCTCGTGGATCTGACACGTGCCCAGACGTGCATACATGCACACATACTCTCACACTCGTCAATACACATCCCACGCCACACCACCCGCTTCCCACCACCACACGCAGGATCGTCGCAAGTTCGGTCCCCTTGGCTGGAACATCCGCTACGACTTCACGGATGGTGATCTCAATGTGTCACTGGCGCAACTGCAGGAGTACTTGGACAAGTGAGAGGGCGGATCGGGGGGAGGGGGGGGAGGGAGGTGTTGGGCTGTTTGCCCTTTCCCCCACTGACCTGTTGGGCTTCTGGGCTTTCGCCCTTTTGCGCTTTCGCCCTCCGGGGATGCTCCTGGCCCTCCCTGTTGCTGTTGTTGCTGTCGCTGCTGTCCTGGACTTCTTCCCTCATGCCAAACCCCCTTTCCCCTCCTCCTTCCTTCCTCCCCCATCTCTCCCTCTCTCTCCCGCCCCCTCGTGACCCCCACCTCCTTCTCTCTCCTTTCCCGTCCACCTAACCCCCCTTCCTCCACCCATTCCTCCACCCCTTCCTCCACCTCCATCCACTTCCATCCACCTCCACCCCCTCCCCCGCGGCGCGACTCAGGTACAAGGAGATCCCTTTCAAGGTACTTCGCTTCCTGTTCACGGAGATCAACTACGGCGGCCGGGTGACGGACGACAAGGACCGCCGTCTCATCAACAACCTCATCTACACCTTCTGTGGACCGCAAGTGCTGCAGGTGGGGAGGGGGAGGGGGAAGGGGAAGGAGACGGGGGAGGGTGGCGGGGGAGGGTGGCCCCGAGGGGCGGCAGGTAGGGAAGAGTGAGTGAAGGGGTGTGCGAGAGTGAGAGCGAGCAAAGCCCGGAGGTAAGGCAAAGGCCCGCAACCTCACCATCACCGGGCCATACCAAGGTCCTCCCTTTTCCCCTTCCTCCTCCTTCTTTATCTTCGTCTTTGTTTTCCTTCTTCTTCTTCCCGCGACCGGCTTAAGTACTCTGCCTTCTATTTTTCCCCCCGACCCGTCACTCCGTGGCTAAAACCCTAGTCCCCATTTTGAACCCTCTTTTGAGTCCATTAAACCCCCCTTTCCCCTCTTCCCCCCTCTTCCCCTCCCTACCCCTGTTGTGTGTCCCGCTGCAGCCCGGCTACGCATTCAGTCCCAGCGGCACCTACGCCACACCCCCTGAGGTGGTGGTTGGTGTCAAGGACCACCTAGAGCTGCTACGCGCCTACCCCATCGTGCCCAAACCCGAGATCTTTGGACTGCACGAGAACGCCGACATCACGTGCGACCAGAATGAGACGTACGACATGTTTTCGACGTTGCTGGCGCTGCAGCCGCGCATTGCGTCGGGTGGGTCTGCTACACCTGCTCTTATGTGACGTGTCACTTCTCTCGTTTCTCAGTTCATCATTAAAACATAAGACCTGCTTTGTCCCGCCCCCTTCCGCTCCACTCCCCCACCCGTGCTCCCTTTCCCTTTCCCTTTCCCCCCCTTCCCGCCGCCCGAATGTGTACGTGTACGTGTCCATGTGTACGTCTGTTTTCCTCTGTGTGTGTATGTGTGTTTATGTGTGTGTATGTGTATGTATGTGTGTGCTCTGTAGGTGGCGGCCAGAGTCAGGAGGCGGTGATCGGCTCCCTGGCCTCCGACATCCTGGCCCGCCTGCCGCCCCAGTTCGACGTGGAGGCGGTCATCGCCACCTATCCCACCACCTACAAGGAGTCCATGAACACGGTCCTCACGCAGGAGTGTATCCGCTACAACAACCTGCTAGCCGTCATGAAGCGCAGCCTGGCGGAGACCATCAAGGCGCTCAAGGGTCTGGTGGTCATGAGCCCCGAGCTCGAGGGCGTCGCGTACAGCATGTACGACAACCAGGTTCCGGAGCTGTGGGCCTCCCGCGCCTACCCCTCCCTGAAGCCTTTGTCCGCTTGGGTCGTCGACCTCCTGGAGCGTTGCACCTTCATCACCAACTGGGTGGCGCGCGGCACGCCTGCTGTGTACTGGATCAGCGGTTTCTTCTTCCCGCAGGCCTTCCTGACGGGCACCTTGCAGAACTTCGCTCGCAAGTACACGTACCCCATCGACACGGTGTCGTTCGGATTCCAGGTGATGGACAGCCTGGATGAGGGGCGGCTGGCAGGCGGCCCGGAGGACGGGTGCTACATCCGGGGGCTGTTCATGGAGGGCGCGAGATGGGACTCGCAGGTGGGTGGGCGGGGTTGGGGACGACGGGTGGCTTTGGGGGGGAAGGGGGAGGAGGGGGAGTGTGTGAGTTGTGGGTTGCCGATAATGGGGTTGGATGGGTGGGCGTGGGGGCCGTGGATGGTGGGTGTGTAGTCATCGGGGGTGGTGCGGTAGGTTGCTTGGTGGAATCTCTGGCAGGTCATCTCCATCCCTTTCTTCCCACCTCCGCTTCGCTTTCTCCCTCCTTGCCTTTTACCTTGCCTTGCCTTTTACCCGCTTCCCCCACTCCGGGGATCCTCAG